TTTATATATTTATATATATATATATATATGTATGTATGTTTGTATGTATGTATTGTATGCACATGCAGAAAGCTTGTCTGCACTACACTGTGGCGATTTCAAGAACACATCCGGACGCAATTCCATACACACGTACATTGGTGAGTACATCACACTATATACAAATACATATATTTGGAGTCGTGAAGTGTGACTGTGGTCAGAGTGTGCCTGGGAGAATTACGAATACCAGAGTGGAAGTCTTGTCTCTACTATCGTATATATACACACACAGACATCCACGCTTATGTGTTATATGTGCTATTGTGTCCCTGCTTCGTTTAAGAATATTAAGTCTTTGCAAATCGAAATCATCAATGGAAACGCTACCTGTCCATACACATACACTTATGTTGATGCACAGATGCACTTGTATACACATTTACAGAAATGTACACATACTCATACTCACATACACTATACGCGAATACACATAGAAACACGTATACTTTTACAAATTTACACACATACACATGCATGTATACACATACTCATATGCATGCATACACTTATACACACATACACCCGCACCCCCCATTCCCAGGCGAGTTGAAGTGTGTGCCTGCGGGTGAGTCTGGCGGAGATGATGACGACGATGACGATGAGGGTGCGGCTTCGCGTCTGTCGGGTGTGCTGGACATAGACTCGCGTGTATTGTGTGAAATTAACCCTAGGCACGAGTGGAGGCAAATGTTTCTGGAGACTTGGCGGGCCATGCGCGATAAGTATTACTCAGGTGGGTGGGTCTATGTATATGTATGTATGTGTATGTTGAAAAGAAGGGTTGCTTGCACATGTACGGCTCATGTATTTAGTATGCCCTAGTATATATGTATAGGTATGTATATATATACATATATATATTTATATATATATATATGTGTGTGTGTGTGTGTATATAGCTATTATATATATATATATATATATATATATATATATATACCCAATAGTGAATGCATTGTCGAACTTCGTATCTGTAAAATCATTTTTACTTCTGATCCCACTACAAAAGTTTGCCACATGCTGTCGTACACTATGAGTATGGCTGTATAAGCCTTATCATTTATCAATTGCGTATATTTCCACCACGCTTTTACACGTGTGCTTCACCATCACATAAACGCACAGCACGGTTGCACACACACAAACACAGAAGCCAACTTGGGAGGCCAACGAACAAATCTGTTTAATATTACTTTCAGCTTTAGAGAATTCCCTATAGATTTACACATTTTCTCTATAGCACAGCACCAACAGATTGGTGCAATTAGCAGTGAAACAACTACAGTTCCTGGTTAGCAGTTCTAAGTGGTGGGAGGGTACGAATAGATGGGTTAGTCAACAAATGCTTGTGCTAATACACACACGCACACAAACAGACACGCACGTCCTCTCATGTACACCCTCCTCTCTCTCGCTCATCACACAGACATATATATATATATATATATATATATATACGCACACCCACACAAAACGATACATCCACACACATATATATATAAACATATATGTGTACCTTTACATCGACGCACACATTCGGTCACAGATAACCTGAATGGTGTGGACTGGGGAGCCAAACGCGATCTATATCTGCCGTTGGTTGCCCGTGCGTCGTGTCGATCGGAAGTGGCGGATATCTTGACAGAGTTGCAGTCGGAGATGTGCACGTCGCACGCCAGTGCCTGGGGTGGTGACTACAAACACCGCAGACATATCAAGCCTGGGTGTCTGGGGGCCGACTTTACCTGGAGCGAGGAGCACGGGGTATGTGTGTGATAATGTGTGTGACTGTGTCTGTGTATGTCTGCGTCTGCGTCTGTATCTGTGTCTATGTTTGTACCTGTGTCTGTGTCTGTGTATGTCTTGGTACGTCTTTGTATGTCTTTATATGTGTCTGTCTGTGTCTGTGTGTCTGTGTATGCATATATATATATGGGTATGTATGTGTGATGTGGCATTTCTGCATGCGAACTTGGCTAATACTTTGATGTACGTATGTACGTCTTTGTATGTCTTTGTATGTGTGTCTGTCTGTGTCTGTGTGTCTGTGTATGCATATATATATATGGTTATGTATGTGTGATGTGGCATTTCTGCATGCGAACTTGGCTAATACTTTGGTGTACGTCTTTGTATGTCTTTGTATGTGTGTCTGTCTGTGTATGCATATATATATGTGGGTATGTATGTGTGGTGTGGCCTTTCTGCATGCAAACTTGACTAATACTTTGGTGTACGTATGTGTATTCGCGAGTGTTAAATAATAAGTAGACATCTTAAGCAAAATAATGTGGCGGCGACAGAGATTGCCAACACATCTGGCCTAGGTGTGTGGGGGGCACTTTGCGTGGAGCGAAGTGCACGGGATCTGTGTGTGAGATATGATGTGTGTTTACGTATGTAATCTTGACTTGTATATACCTTTGTATGTTGAACACGGGGTGTGAGTGTGTGACAGATATGTGTATACATACGTATGTAGCTTGACGTTCATATACGTATGTGTGGGCTCGTATGTAAACGCCATCCAAGACATGCGCGCCCGATGCCTGTTCCGTGGTACCTGTAGACCGTGCACGCATACTACGCCTAGGTGTCTGAGAGCTGACTTTGCATGGACTGAGGTGCACAGAGTGTGTATCTCGGGCACTTGTATGCACTCTTGAGTTGTGTGTGTAGGTGATTCTATTGTGTACATCCGTCTATGTGCACTCACCGGTGTTCTGGTCGTTTGTGAGCCACAGGGCGGTTCAGCTTATATGTATGTCTGCCCAGGTGCGTATGTAGGTAGAAGAAGTTAGCGTAGCAGATACACTTCACCTTTTTCGGCATACCCGGTTCATACTTTTGTATTAGATCTGTCTGTATAAACATGCGCCCGTGTGTGTCTATGAACTCCCGCTATACCCATAGCTGCTACACTCTCAGACCGCCTCTTTGCCTCCGCACAGGCGTATGCAATCTCCCACATTGTCAACGGAGATGTGTGGCATCCGCAGAACGGCGGTCCCTTGGCCAAGCCAGCTGTGGGTGTGAGGAAAGGCGATTTATTGGTTGCTATAAATAGACGGAAGCTGGATAGGCACACTACCCCCAACGAGCTACTACTAGGTATGTGAAGCTGGGCTGGATGTGTTGCTTGGTTTTATTAAAGGGTGTCAGGCTGCTGTATATTGAGAGTGTGTTCGTAGTATGGGATTTGATATGTTTGCTATTTGGTTCTATGTGTATGAATATAGATACCAGTAGTATGTTGATTTAGGTATATCCTATATTCCATGTTAGCATATAATTATATATATATATATAATATTACTTTTACTATATAATCTTCGTATGTGGGTAGAACTTATTTGCATTTACCAGCCGTGTACGTAAGTATACACATATGCGTATATTCGTAGGTCCACAATTGTATATATACATTCGCAAAAGCAATTATTTCTTAGATATAGTTGTATATTTGCTTTATTTATATCCATCCACATAACTTAACACATAAATATGACTCTCGCACCATGCAGGGATGGCATACTCTGAAGTGCTCCTGAGTGTCATGCCTAAATCGGCTGCCAAGTCAGACTCAAAGTCCAAGACCAAAGCAGTAGGCAAAGGTACTAAAACGATAGGGTATGGTACAGGCGCAGCCGCAGAACAGCCTAAGAAGGATATGAATGGGTCTATAAATGGGTCTACCAAGAATGCAGAGCACAAAAGCGTGGGGAGTGTTATGACGGTACCCGTAGCCGTGACCGATAGCGAGAGGGACAATGATACGTCCGAGGTAAAAGAACGAAAGAAAACCAAGAAGAGGAAGCGCTATCGTAGTATTATCAAAGTCGATGAGTAGTCGTATGTTAGGTTTGCATAGTCAGATATTATAGAAGACTCTTGTTGTCCCATGTATAGACCTGATTGGCGTATGTATCCCTTGTAGTCGTGCATATTGACCCTCTTGTCGTACATGTTGGGTGCTGTGTGTCGATGTGTTTTGACGTTTACAGAAGACTCATATTGTCCCATGTATAGACCTGATTGGCGTATGTATCCTTTGTTGTCGTGCATATTGTCCCTCTTGTCGTACATGTTGGGTGTTTTGTATAGGTGTGTTTTTACGTGTATTGTTGTGCGTTATGAAATGACTGTTTTTATCTCACATAACGTGGATGGCAGTTTCTGCGCTTCCCTGATCGCATGTGTGTAAGCTATGGATCAATGCATCCGTGTTTACTTCAAATTACTACTGGTATCGTTGAGTGCGCGTTTTTACTTTACTTTCTTCGATCAAATTATAGTAAACATCATTGTGTCCGCGTGTTTACTTCGAATTACTAGTTCATAGCTGTGTTTGCGTGTTTACTTGGTCGAATTGTACCATACATCATTGTGTCTGTTTGTGTCTGTGTGTTTAATTATCATCATTGAGTTTACCTGTTTACTTCCAAATACTACTGAATAGCTGAATTTGCATGTTTGCTTGATCAAATTGTAGTAAGCATCAGTGTTCGTGTGTCTAATTATCGTCATAGAGTTTGCCTGTTTACTTCCAATTACTATTAGTATCGCTGAGTGTGTGATCTGAGTTACACATTTGACCCAACTACTAGCCATATATATATGTGTGTGTTCTCACTCTTTGGCTCCCTCATCCTGCACCCATTCAGGAGCAAAGGGATTCGGGCACGGAAATGGGCGTTGTGCGAGACAGTCAAACGGGGCGTAAAATCCTATCGAAAACAAACTCGTCGCTAGGTGCCACAGTCAAATCCGGGCGGGAAAAGCATCAAACCCCCAACAAAGGCGATAATAATATCTATGAGTCCAAAAACCCGGGAAACGCCAAAACTTTCGGGGCAAGGAAGAATTCAAGTGTGAAGAAGGGCGCGGGGACGAGGAGAGCTAGCACGGCACCGAAACAGGCCACTACCGGTGGCATAGCAAAAGAATCGAGGAGTACTCCGGAGTCCAGCTCAGAGTAAGTCTACTCGTAAAGTCTACTCCCGTAGCCTTTCAGCTTGAGTTGTTTTGGATTAGACGGTTTCTGGTTCATCTCCGCTTAAACGGCGCAGCTAGTGTATACCTAACTTTTCTGCATCAGCGTGACTCTCATATACATGCACTTGTATAAGTGTGCTGGTTGTGTGTGTGTATAGGGTTTAGGGTTTGTCCCTAGCTGCAACAACTCGCAGCAAAGTGTGCTGCTGGCAAGCCAGACAAGGCAACCGCTGTAGAGGCGTGTGTATTCGTGGGTATGCCCTGACAAAGTGGCTCCCCCAAAGATACACATATACACGCGTAAATATATATATATACATATATATATATATACATATGTATACATATATATACACGTACATGTATTTATATAAATATATATATATATATATATATACGCATATGTATTTGTATTATATATATATACATGTGTGTGTGTGTGTGTGTATATGCCAATATGTACAGATCTGCACACCTCCAAACTCAACATACACCCCCATCTCCCGCACCTGCGCAGGAGTATACGGCACATCCGCGTGCGGTGTATTGGGTCTGATCTATACGCACGCTACAGAGACCACATCGCACACAGTCGCGCTCATGTGCGTCGCACCACCAACGACCGTGTAGGCTATATACACCTGCCCGATATGGAACGGTTGGGCTTCTCGGAGTTCCACCGACACTTTCATACCGAGGTAACCATATCCACCCCGTTTGTGTGTGTACGTGCGTGCGTGTGCATGTGTGTGTGTGTGTGTGCATGTGTGCGTGTGCATGTGTGTGTGAGAGAGTGTGTGCATGTGTATGTGTGCGTGTGCATGTGTGCATGTGTGTGTGTGTGTGTATCCTTGCAGACACGCACGTTCGTATGTTCTGTGTGACATTTATGTACTTCCCTGTCGGTGGGTGTACATGTGTGTCTCGCCAATATCAACTGAGAGCTACACACACATACTATATATGGAAGCACTCGGCTTTTCGGAGTTCCGCCGGCACTTTATACCTAGGTCACTATATCCACTTGTCTACGGACTTCACAAGGTTTATTTGTCCGTATCTTGGTATGCCCTGTGTACTTGTGGCTGAGTTTTACACACCCTGATACACATGTGTGTGAATCGTTCTGTACTGCAGTTGTGTGCAACATCGTTCGCGTGGACTACGCATTGTGTCTGTACGAGAGAGCCTGAGCGCCTCGGAGTCCACACTTGAGGTGTGACATGTGCATATGTGCATGTTGACAATCACATGTTTTCAGTATGGTCGTTTGTTGTGTGTGCACACGTTGCCAGTGTGTAGGTCATGTATATCTCCCCGACATACCACATACCATACTACTTAACTTATCTACCGCAGACTCTTCACTCCTCATAATTCAACAATATAGCCTGCAAGCTACGTACAGTATCGCATACCTACCACACGCTCTTCACTCCGAGAGTCACAAGGTGGAATTTACCTACTCATATGGAATATCTACAAAGTACACTGTAATTTACCTACTACAAAATGTATTATAGTTTACCTACTACGTGCATATGAAGTGCCTGCTATATATATTATAATTACCTACTACGCACAATATGTAATACCTTTAAAATACACTGTAGTTTACCTACTACAGAATGTATTATAGTTTACCTACTACGTGCATATGAAGTGCCTGCAATTTAATTTATAATTACCTACCACGCACAATATTTAATACCTACAAAACACACTGTAATTTACCTACTACAAAATGTATTATAGTTTACCTACTACGTGCATATGAAGTGCCTGCTATATGCATTATAATTACCTACTATGCACAACATGTAATGCCTTTAGAATACACTGTAGTTTACCTACTACAGAATGTATTATAGTTTACCTACTACGTGCATATGAAGTGCCTGCAATTTACATTATAATTACCTACTTCGCAAAATATATAAAACCGACAAAATATATTTGAGTTTCCCTACTACACACAATATGAAATGCCTACAGTGCATTACAGTCCACCTATTACACACAACAAAATCTACCTAACCCACACCCTTTGCTCCCCAGAGTCGACGCGAGGGGTTGATTGTGGATGTGCGTGGGAATGGCGGGGGATATATCAGTGAACTGCTGCTGAAGTCTCTCGCTATGCCGTCACTTGCTGTTGAGGTGAGATGGATGATAGTGCAGTGTCCGACTCAACTCGGATTGAATTATAATATAGATATATATATATGTGTGTGTGTGTGTGTGTGTGTGTATGTATGGTATGTATGTATGTATATATATACAGATAAATATATTTATATGTATATAATTATATATATATGTGTGTGGGTGTGTGGGTGTGTGTGTGTGTGTGTTTGTGTGTATATATATATATATATATATATTCGCATATGTAGGCAAATCTCTCACACAGCCATAACCTGCATGCAGATATCTCGATACGGTGCCCCGATAGCATATCCCACGGCCAGTGTGATAGGGCCAGTGGTGATGGTGTGTGATGAGTTCACTGGATCAGATGGGGATTGCATTGTCGAGTCCTTCAAGGTGTGTACCAAGTATGCTCACACGCCTGTATGTCCACAGTGCAGTATTGTTGTGTGTGAGTATATACACCTATTCGGCATCTGTACGTGTAGTATGCACATACACGTCGTATTTCTACACTATAGCGTTGTTGTGTGCGAGTATATGCACCCAATCGGCATATGCGTGTGAGAAACATACTCGTAGCCACATGTGTACCACGCGCATGCCCGGCACGCTCCTATAACACTCGAATGAGGTGAACGTAGATTGTATTGAAACGTGTACATATAGTATGCTTTATTACATTAACACAAAGCTCGAACGAGGTGAGTGTAGTTTGTATTGAAACGTGTTCATATAGTGTGCATGTTACATGTACACAAAAAGCTCGAATGAGGTGAACGTAGGTTACATTGAAACGTGTACACGTGGTGTGCCTATGAGATTAGCACACGCATACAGTTACCAACCCCAAGAGCTTTTTTTTTCTTTCTTTTTTTAATCGCAAATGACCATTGATCACAGATGTATTGTGCAGGCATACTGTTCTAGTGCGTTTCGCCGGTGTGCGTTAGCCTTGTTGGTGCACACGCGCACGCAGAAGCTGACTCCTGAAACATCGAGAGTCCACATACACATTCTGACACACACACACAAACACACACATATCGCACTACATGAATGTGTAGTCTACACACACTCATGCCGCATTGTACGCATGTGTAGTGATTGCATATCCACCTGCTGAAGTGGATCTCTTGTCCTGGACGTGTATATGGTGTTTTTCATTCTAAATGGAATTTGCCACCGTATATCGTTAATACCGTCACCATTCCAATGACGTTGTTTGATACACTGATGATCGTGTTCGATGGATATGTGCATATAGTTGTACTGTAGTGATCGGGTTTTACTAAATCTAAAACCCTGAAATCTTGAAGAAATCAGTATTTATCGGAATGTTGATATTGGTGATTCTTCGTGGTCGAAAATGTTGTGAAGTGCTCTCTTATACTTCTCAAATATATTTCGCAGGCACTGAAATTCACTCAAGTACTTTTCAAATTTTGTTTGGCAGGCGTTAATTCGCTTCAATACTTCTCCAATATATTTCGCTGACATAGGAATTCACTCCAAATATTCTCAAATTTGTTTTGCAGACTTTGAAACTGGGTCCAGTGGTTGGTCGACGCACCTGGGGCGGTGTAGTGGGGACTATGGACCCACTCCAACTGGTAGATGGCAGCTATACTACTCAGGTAGGTATACAAGAGTCGAGAGTTTGTACATAACTACTCATACACTATACACCTTGAGTGTAATGTGCGTGTTGGTTTGGTTGTTGTGATATTAATGGGTGTCGCAAATTGTATCCACTCCGATTGGTAGATGACAGATGTAGTATTCAGGTGCGTATATGGAGTCGAGTGCAAATGCCTTGAGTCTGAACCATCTTTTGTCGCTGCTTGTTCTATGGTCGTGATATTTGAGTATATATATATATGTGTGTGTGTGTGTGTGTGTGTGTGTGTGTGTTGTGTATGTATATGTA